GGAAAAGGAGCAATGCACCCAGCCAACTGATGAAATTGCCCAAGATTTATGTAAAAATGGCGGTCAGTTGGAGAACACGGAAGAAGGTTTGGAGAGCGATGAGGATGATGACGAGAGAAGCTTTGTTGTTTTCAACGGAGATTTACGATGTGAACATGGTTTGTGGTCTTTATTACCTTCGAGAACTAGCGCAGTACATTTGTAAATGTACCATGTTCTAATTTTTTTTTAAATCTTTAAAAGTTGTATTTTTCAACATCTGAGCATATTTTGTTTTATTATTATGCTTTTTCCATCAGTTCGCTAGAAATCGGACTTATTTCAAGGCTTGTGGCATCTGTGTGACTTCAGTTTCTTACTTGTAGCCTTCTCACTTCTCAACGTTTACGCTTTATTAGTAATCAAAAAAAAAAAGCTCCAGTTTTTTATAGTTTGAGAGGGAGCCTCGAAAAGTGCTAAGATTCGGCTGTTTTAAGGTACGCTGGATTACGAATGCTGGGTAACAAATGAACGGCGAATTGTTGTGGATGAAAAGGAATGGGATGAATTGGTCAATGGAATCTTTGAGCCCGAACATTTTTGGACTGTTAGCGTGGATGAACTACCCTGTTCCCTTTGCGAATCCGGTTATTTGGTGAGTTTGTTTGTTATATCTCTTGTTTTTTGCTCGTTTTGCAGTTTTCTGAAAGCTGCGAAAGCACCGTTCCTTATGATTCGGATTCCCCGCAGCAGTAATTTTTGGTTTGAACTTTTATGTTGGCTGTATGCCAATATTATATAACAGAAAAATTGGTTTTGACTTGTGGCCGGGAGATGTTTCATTGATGTTTGAGATTTCCTGGGAAAAATTTTCGTGAAAAAATTTTTCGTTTGAGATCACCTAGATTATCTGGGGGATTTTCTCACGCATTTTCTTATATACTGTGTCAGTTGAACTCCAGTTGTTTAGTTTCAAAAAAGTCCATTAAGCGCTATAACCCTTGCACGCTGTTGCTGTTTACTTAGAGTAAAAGGCTGGTTGCATGGTTTATTACGGAATTCAGTTTGTTTTTTCGATGACTCTTCATTTAATGATGTTGGCCATTTAATAATT